CTCATTACTGAAATGTGGGGTCAAGCTCCGCTAGTTACTCTGGCCCACTATTTGTATTTTCCCCATTTTAATGTGGATCATGTTATTATTTTCAAATCTTTCTCTACTCAATGACCATTTTCAAATCTTTTGCAAATGGCGGTTTAAAATAATAGATGCAATGTGCTATAATGTGTACAAAGAACTGTCATTTTTTTTTCTCCATCAAAAGTACAACATGCACAGCTACACTTTTTCTTGCGCATTTGTGGTACTGCTTTGAGATGAGGCAGTGGAAGATGTTGAAACGGAATGCTTGAAGCCTTGATGTAATGTTTATGTGCTCAAAGATGACAAGAAAAAAAAACAGTGAAATGATCTATGACATCAAATACATTCACAACTAACAATGCAGTGGTGGCATGTTATGAAAGAATGTCTATAATTCATCCATTCATTTTCTAATCCGTTTATCGTCATGAGGGTCGCGGTGCAATTCCATCTATGTTCTTGAATTCCAAAGCATAATTTATGAGTAAATGACCTGCGATGGAAAATCAAAGATAAGACAGCTTGTCTTTTTAAATTAGATTTTATATAACCGTTTTTTTTTGGTTGTTTTTGTTTTCTTAAATTCTTTTATTAATTATTTATTAATATTCAAAGAGTTGTGTCTCTGGAGTGTCTGACCACAGCTCATATCTTAAAATGAACAGTGAAAATAAATATTTTGCTTTGTGATTGTGAGGTATTCTTAATTTCGACAGGTTATGACATCATATTGTGGCAAATTTCCACAAGCAAGTTTCGCCACCCATGACTTGGCAACTTGGCTCAGCGAAGGGCCGCCATTTGTAGCTGGCGACGTTTCGCATGCGCCACAGAAACAGATAAGTACACTAACTGAGTGTAATTCCGTGAATATACAATGCAAACTGCCTTTCACGCTTAACGGTTCATACCAACTTTTTTAAACTCGGGGTTCCATATGCAACCACACCTAGCTCCACCCCTGATCGTCATAGTAACATACTCTGTACTTGTCCTTGGCCGAGCAGTACATGGGCAACTTGCCTGAGTTAAGACCGCCAACTGAAAACAGGTTTGGAAAAACAGGAGATAAAAATGGAGGTGTCCTGTAATTCCTGATCTTTTGGGGATTTTGGAAAACATCACAGATGTTAGTTATGAAGACACCTGGGTACTCTTTTAAATTGTTAAAAGGTATGAAGGTAGCCCTGGAGCACATATTTCTTATTTATCTGGTACGTGTCAGTTTGCTTCTTTTTAAATATAGTAAAAAAAAAAAAAAAAGTGGACTTGTCTGGGCAAATCTGAACATTTTGCATCCCGTACCTTTTTGTCCCCTAGAAAATGTACCATAACATTGTTTTCTTTTCTATACTCATTCCATTCCCTCAAGGGGAAATTCAAACTCTCACTCTGCTGTATATTTTTATGTTGCACACCACACACAGAGAACCAGATCACACAAATGCAGGCATGCAAGGAGAGACGTCAGAGTGAAAGGGGAGCACAAACAAGGTCGGAGTGTGGGGATGTTGTCTTGCTCAAGGGCACCTTGACAGTAGTCAGTAAGATTAGCATCCCTCCAACGACTCGACGTTATATATTTTTTTCCATTTTGTCCGCAGCGGGACTTTAGCGTTACAGATAAGCCCGCAAATGAGCTACTGCTGCCCTTACGCTAATTTGAAGTCCACTGAGCAGCCAGATGGTTATACTGTATCGTGAAGTCGACTCCAATCGTAGCTCTATTTTTGACAGTGTGTCACATGTCCTCTACCCTACATGACATCTGTATGCTCCGGCATTGCGCCACTGATTCATTGTGCTGCCAAGTAGGGCATGCGAATACAATAGAAGATTGGGGCTAAAAGTGGGCCTCGAAAACCTCAAAGGTATTATCTGCTGAAAGAGATAAAGTGCTCTCTGTTGTGATAAGAATATACTCATGACTCAGAATCATCATCCAGATAGCATGGAAAGGCGCACGTGATGTTTTAATGTATGTGCAGTTTATACAAGACAATAACGACTTCCTGAGGCTTTAAACGAAGGGAGGATTTGCTTTCCACAGTACGGGGCCTACAATTACCTTTCGTTTTTTAAAATTTGAATACATGAATTAAATAACGATTATAAATGATGAGTGGAGGAGAATGTGAAACACCTTTTTGGATTTGAAACAAGGCCGGAGACTTTGAAGTCCTGCATTGCTTGATATAGCCTAGCAAGAACATATTTTTTATATAAGCTGCAAATACCCCTTTAATGAAAGAAAGGGAAGACTCCCTAAAGACTTTTTGGACCTGCTCAGCTGCTGTAATTATCTTTAGTAATATATCTATTTGAAAATATCCTTGTGGATTTGTGTAGAATTTGACTTTGACAGTCATGAACTGCACCAGAGCACTTTGTGTGGACCTCTTGCGAGACCAAAGAACTCCACAAAGCTCAATAATCCAACTACATAATACAAGATGTCGAGCCATCTCCTAGTTTAAGTAAAAAAAAAAAAACGTTCTTACCCCAAGGCGGTCAATTACAGTTGCATGATCAAATACATCAAAAGCTGCATAATGTCGAGAGACAGTCGAATGAACGATCTCTTTTGTCTGCTGTTTAAAGGCACTCGTCCACGGCTCTGAAATGACTCATAGAATTTCACAAATAAAGTGGATAGTTTGGTTTGTTTATGTGGTCTGCTGCTGATAAAAAAAAAAAAGATTCCATTGCTGATTTTTATTTAGTTTATCATTGCACAGTGACCTGCCTGATGGCTAATACATCCGCTGTAAATTCAACTCCTTATGATATTCTCGATTCCAACATTTCGCCACATTGTTGTCAACATTCATTATGTGCCCCCCGCATTGCCAGTGCACTCATTGCCTTTTGATTGTTTTCTATGTTGAGTTTTGTTATAGCCTGTGTAATTATGTTTTTCAGAGATTGCCATGCCTGACTTAATGATTGGCGGTCTATCGTTTTGAATATTATAAACTCTTAACATATACAATATGCATTGATGCCCAGTAAACCCACTTCGAGCGTGAAAATGAACGAGCCATTTGTTTTGTCCATCCATGTTTTGAATCGCTTTTCCGCACTCCTGCGTCGTTACTCCATAGTGAGACGACGGATGATTTATGTGCGTTCTTGACATTGCTTTCCTTCCTCAAAAAAAAAAAAAAAAAAAAAAAAAAAAGGAGAAAGGAGCAGAACGTAAAACTCAGAGCAATGCTTCCAGTCACTCTTGTGAAAGAAAAAAAAAAAAAAAAGGAGAAAGGAGCGGAACATAAAACTTAGAGCAATGCTTCCAGTCAGTCTTGCGAAGCGGATTATTCATGTGCATAGCAAGCCTGCAAATTAGCATTTAACTAAGCTCTCTTAATAGTAGTCAGAGGTAACCAAATTTCATGTCGCTATGTAAAACAGGCTTCAGGGGCTGAAAAAAAAAATGTCGGGAAAGCACTACTGAGCAAATTTGATTTGCTTATTAACATTGATAACGCAATCCCGTACTTGGTATGAGGCGCAAAATCACCCCATGGTAAAAAATAAGAAATCATTTGCCAGCATTTCCTTTATCGACCCACTGGAAACATATTGATCAGTTAATTGCTATTCCTCCAAAGCATATTTTCCTAGTAAATGCCCTGCGATGGAAAGTCAAAGATAATAACTGAAGTATTCACACTGCCCAACGGGATCATCTTGGTGAATATCGTGAACTCTTGTTTCGATCGTCTTGAAATGATGCTGTTCTTTAGGCTTCAAACAATCAGAGTAAGTATTGAACCCAATTTTGCCTCAGTGGTCTTACGATTGAACAGCAATCCATTCCGCATAATTTGCATCATTCTTAACGAGCAATTATTTGATTATCGTGCCTGAGTAGAAACGCAAACTTGATGGCGGTTGAGCATTTCAGTCTTAACGGTAGTGAGCTGAACTGTCCTTGAGACATGGATTAATTGACGCAGCAAGGCTTAGAGGCAAAACATGCACAAATTACTGATGGACTTCAGGTCAGTGATCCCAACATTTGCAAAGCTCTGACTCGCTTTGTCCACTTCAGTCCCTCCCACCAAAAGCTTGAGGTCAGACCCAACTTCAGCACAAAGACATCCTCTTCCACCCTAAATAATGTGCTTTTTGTCTAGCTCGGGAAGGAATCATCTGTAGCAGCGTACCATCTGACATATGGGGCTCTGTCGATCCTTCATAATGGGTACAAATAGTTGCTATTATGCCGTTGTATCGACACAAATCATCACAAAATATGAGGATGAAATGAGATCATCCATTATGTCTCCCCAATGGCTTTTCTGCTCATATTCTGGAATAATCACATGTATCGCTGCATATTATATTGGGGAAAACTTTTAAATGGCAAAAATGATCAAACGATCAGCATGCGGCAATTTTAAGAGTTGCTGTATTAATTAGAAGGGGGGGAAAAAACACCTTACAATTTGAATGCATAAAGTAGGACAAGAGCCAAGAGGAGAGAAAGACCAAAATTTGTCTGCCTCTTTGCGGGTTGAATCAGCTCCTTTGGGGCGGATGTGTGAAGCAGGCTTTTGGGCTCTTGCTGAGACAAATAGCTTCTCCCAGTCGCGCAACAACTAGAGAGTGATGAGGCTTTTATCCAAAAGCGAAGGAGATACTTTGTGCTAACTATGTCCCAGACCTAAGAGACCACCCACAGGTGAAGCCCCCTCCCCTTTGGCGAAGATACCCCCCCATGAGAGAAGCGATCCACTTCCACATGAATCACCCCCGAGGACGCAAATAGTTCTTGCAAAGTACGTGATGATCACCGCGTCGCGTCAGCGGTTTGCATGGCGTGCATCGGCGGAGGAAGAATGACTCTGCCCTTTTTTCCCTCCCCTCGTTAACAACAATGCATCCGAGAATTAATGGCAAAGTGAATAGATGTTGCTGAAATGTAAATTACATTCCGTTTTGAGTTCTATACAGTGCAATTATCATAGATGTTTGCGCATGATTATCTCCCGCTGTATGTGGGATGATTGCTATTTCGCAGCTGCGCAACTTTTTATAAGAGATAAATCTGAAGGAGGAAATCACTTGCGGTGATTGCTTTTCTCTAACTGTAGCGTTTCAACCAGAACCGACCCCACATTTTCTGAATAAGACAAAAAAAGAGACTTGAATGCATTGTGCCAGATTCCTCTGCCTGGTTGCGGCTTCGGAGTCTCGTAGCTTGGTGGTCTTGCAGCCTGGTAGCTACGCTTGTGGCCTTAACAGCATGCATTGAAGCAGAAACAACCATTCCAGCTGGATGACTGAGAAAAGTCTGCTCAAGCATGTGGGTTCACTTTGAGGAAGAATTGGTTGAAATGGCTTAGCGTTCTCCGGACATATGTAGGCGACTCACGTCGGGAGTCTTTCACTTAAGGGACAATGGTTGCTCGTATTGGCGTGCCATTGAAACGTGCGAGCAAACATGCAATAGAAAGTAGCAACGGTACGAGCCTTACCTCCCAGCCCAGGACGTAGTCTGTTGTCATAACCATCCAACAGTCTGTCTAAGATTCGGGTGAAAATTGTGATATTGTTACTGTCATCGGGCAGCGGCTCTCTGTGTCCAACGACGGCACTTTAGGAAGAAATGGACAGAAGTTACACTCGAAATGTAAATGGCAAAACAAATGATAAAGCAGTTATATATATTTCGCTTGGTTGAGTGTTTGGATCTTTTCATACCACTGGCAGCAATTTTTGTGCTTTGTCAGAATTAAAAAAAACAAAACAAATCTGACAGTTGGCTTCCTCCCAAGTGTTATATTGAACTTTGCCGTGGTGTTAAACTGCACTGTAACATACTAAAAGGTTTTTCTAATTGAGTGGCCACTTCATGGGGACCTCACAGTGTAACGAGAGACTACTTCCCATTCCACAAAGGTGCACGCGGCCCCTTCCGCCCAATTTTACTTGTGCAAAGTCTCAAAAAAATACCAAACGAAAGACAACTTAACCCGTGCGCACAGTTAGACTGCGCTTTGCATGGAGTTGCGCTTGGTATGAAAATAGGGCCCATAAATTTACATCTCATAAGATCCATCAGGAGTGAACTGTGGGGATATAGAAATCCCATTATTATATCATTAGAGCGCTGATGATTTAATGAGTACACACTTTAATTAAGCTCGAATCCCCTGAAGGGCTAAAGTATCCAAGTAATTCTCAATCAACAAACATTCAATGCACCAGTAGCAGCAATCGTTCCAGTGGCAATGGACACAGTTTGAAGAAATTTACATCTTAACCACGAACTTGCAATTGCTTTAAAGGGAAACCTTGAAAATCTCATTTAGAGGCTTTCTCTACTTGAATCTGCCCTGGAAAAAAAAAAAAAATCCATCCATGGACTGCTCACCAACTATTCAAACTCATATTCACACGTATGAAGATTGGAGAGTCTTTAGTGACGCTGACATGCATGTTTTTAGAATTTGGGAAGAAGCTGGACGACCAGCAGAAGACACACACAAGCGCACACACAGGCTGGATTTGAACCCCAACCCCTCAAAATTGTGAGGCAGTTTTGCAACCCCCCCTCACCGTGCTGCGGTTTACAATGTGCATGACAAATGTGAATCTTTTAGTCTTCTCCGAATTTAATTATTACTCCGTAAAAAAACATGTCTACTTAATCATCATTCTCATTTAGCAGTAATTAACCAATGCTTGGTTCATTCCATACGAAATTCCGATGGATATTCTCATTTCCATCTCAAAGAAGAAAAATCTAAAAGATTGACAGAGTAAATGAGAAGTGTTTGAAAGGCAGACAAGGTTATCAATTCGGTCTCGTGTTGGCACACTGAAGCAGACACAGAGTTTAAATGGAGCAGACTTGGCTTGGCGAGATGTTTTGTGTTCGAGACGCTTTCTCAGGGCAGACGGATGCCGCTGCCAGCTCGGAGGTGTGTGTCCGTAATTGATGGAACGGCCTTCGGAGCAACTTGGGTGAGGGTACAATTTGTAAACCAGCAATTTTGTACTTGGCATGCTCAATTCAAGCAGACATGATCTAAGACCGCATCGGAACCACTGTGGTTGGACTCGTTCCGTTCTGTGGCGCTGACCTTCAGTTGTTCTGATTTTTAACACAATTGTTTCCGTCAAACTTAACATAATGAAAACTGCTGGGAAACCTACTAAAAAAGTTTTAAGTTGCATCTTTACGTTATTATAATGGATAAGTGGAGGGGTTAGAAATCAGTTAACTGTTTATAAAAAAGAAGAGCTGACATGCATGTTTTTAGAATTTGGGAAGAAGCTGGACGACCAGCAGAAGACACACACAAGCGCACACACAGGCTGGATTTGAACCCCAACCCCTCAAAATTGTGAGGCAGTTTTGCAACCCCCCCTCACCGTGCTGCGGTTTACAATGTGCATGACAAATGTGAATCTTTTAGTCTTCTCCGAATTTAATCATTACTCCGTAAAAAAACATGTCTACTTAATCATCATTCTCATTTAGCAGTAATTAACCAATGCTTGGTTCATTCCATACGAAATTCCGATGGATATTCTCATTTCCATCTCAAAGAAGAAAAATCTAAAAGATTGACAGAGTAAATGAGAAGTGTTTGAAAGGCAGACAAGGTTATCAATTCGGTCTCGTGTTGGCACACTGAAGCAGACACAGAGTTTAAATGGAGCAGACTTGGCTTGGCGAGATGTTTTGTGTTCGAGACGCTTTCTCAGGGCAGACGGATGCCGCTGCCAGCTCGGAGGTGTGTGTCCGTAATTGATGGAACGGCCTTCGGAGCAACTTGGGTGAGGGTACAATTTGTAAACCAGCAATTTTGTACTTGGCATGCTCAATTCAAGCAGACATGATCTAAGACCGCATCGGAACCACTGTGGTTGGACTCGTTCCGTTCTGTGGCGCTGACCTTCAGTTGTTCTGATTTTTAACACAATTGTTTCCGTCAAACTTAACATAATGAAAACTGCTGGGAAACCTACTAAAAAAGTTTTAAGTTGCATCTTTACGTTATTATAATGGATAAGTGGAGGGGTTAGAAATCAGTTAACTGTTTATAAAAAAGAAGACTGCGCACTCATCACATACACATAAAAAAAAAAAAAAAATTCTAGTTTATTTTTTTTTTCTCACAAATACGCGTTGCCAAAAAAAATGCTCGCAAAAGCAAACACGCGCAAAGAGAATTATTTAATTGTCATGAATGATGGTGGTTCAAAATGGCGGGACTTTAGGGGGATATTTGTCCTTAAAAAGTTGTTTGAAATCAGAAATATAAAGACTCCAGCGGCGCTTCCAAATTCTGAGGTACCGCTGTGGATGACAAACATTTCAGGTCTCACTTGAGTAATTAGCGTCTTCCTCCCTTCCCGTATGGCATGAAACCAATTCGGAGATCCTGTGGAATGGAATTCCCACTTTCCATTTTACCCAGTGCATTGGAGCAGCAGAGTCGACGGTGATGGATCAATGCTTCGTGCTCACTAATGAGCTTATGTAGTTTAATACCGCTAGAAAGGTGAAATTGCTGAAATCGGTGTGATTAATTTATGGTATCGATTGGTAACGTTGCTCCCATTGGCGCAGCGTGATGTCATCCCCCCCAAGATTGGATTAACGGTTTGAACCTGCATGACTGCTGACTACAATACTGCTAACAATGACACGATTTCATACCTCCAAGCGTTGTTCGATTCAATTCTGAAATATTTCACCGTGGCCACTTTGGGATACATCGCTTTCACGTTTTGATTTCCGTCCACTCTGTCTGAAGTGATCCAACGAGCCACAGATGACGTGTTACAAATGGAGAGATTCAAACACAAAAGTAGCAGCCGACGCATTTATTGAAGAGTTTTACTGTCGAGCACCTGGGGCGAGTGAAATCAAATAACGTTAATTAGCCAGGCCGCTTGAAGCGTTGCAGAAAGAATATTGAAACCTGATAACGTTCCTGGCTGGGGCTTTAGGAGACCTAGTTTGGATATTATAAATACTTAACTGCAAGCACCTATCGTCGAAAGCTGCGAATCTATGTGGGTGGAGGAGTGGGGGTGTTCTAATTAGCGCATCGTTTTCGGCACGGAATAAACTCTGTGCCGAAAATGATGCATGGGTTACCCTTTCCAACATAGCTAATCTTTCATACCAGATCCTCCCATCATCAACATATTGATAGCTATGCAGCAGCGCGTTGTGTCGCAGTGCATTATGTAACACTTTGTCTCTTATCAATGGGCGCCATGTAGCTTTTTCAAGCCTTAACAATGTGAAGGATTTGTCTTTGCTCGGTTCCTCTGTTGTCTACTTTCCTGTTGAGGAAGATTATGTGCACTGGAGGACAACTGATGGAGGACTTACTGTAAAGCAGTTGCTAACGGAGCAGTTTTGCTACACTCAAGGGGCAATCCTGCTATCACTTTTTTTTTTAATCTGCCTGAACATATTGGCTTCATTTAAAGAGTTACGCTGAAAATTGTGTATAACATGAACCTTTGTCAATATGACAATAAAAATCACGATTTTCCAGAATTCAGGACATTTCAAGAGAGATTTCATCAAATGAAACCCGACGCAATAATAAAGTGAGGTACTTCATTTGGCTTTGCGGCTTTTCTGGCTGATGTTTTGCTATGCCGGTGACTAAGCATTGAATGTGTGATTGTGAATTGATCATTAATTTCCCCCCATTGCTGAACATGAACAAGTACATTTCGTCAGATGCCCACAGTCAGTAACAGACAGCTGTTCCTATTGAATATGAGCTACAGGAAAGTGCTCTATAAATACAGTTGAGTTGACAGGTTTCATATTTCAAACCCTGAAAAATATTTTTGCCCAAACGCAAATAATCGCCACATAGAAATGTAATTTAAACTTCTTGCGATAACGAAGACTATCAGGTAATGAGTATAATTTCTAAATTTGTCCAACTGTTCCTTCAGGATCCCCAAATAAAAGCCTGCTCTTTATATCTGTTTTTATTTCTAGCTTCTTTCGGGGGTAATAAAAATGAATGGATTATTTTAAATAGACATTGAAAAACTAAACAACATTGCACATCGTAGTCACTTGACAATTTTTAAGTATATGGTCATGTTATAGCGCTTAGAAAAAAGAAGAAAATAAAACAAAGCCTTTGCACAAGAGCCATTCATGTAACCATCCTAGACACTCTTTAAGATTTTTTATAGATGCTGCTCGGTTATGTGCCCACTGGGAATCTCTGACTGCTGACTTTTGCCCGTGACTTGCTGACTTGAATATTGCACCATTAAAAAGAAAAAAAAAATAGGAGTACATTTAAGATTAAAAGCACCTTCAACCAATTATCAAAAATCTTCTCGCATTACAGGGATGGGAAAATTCATTCATTTCAACCGAACTATTTTTCAGCAACATTGTGTCATTGTGCCTGTACAAGCTCTGTGCCAACTTCCAACCATCCATTATCCAAACCGCTTCATCCTCGCAAGGGTCGCGGGCATGCTGGAGGCCTACCCCAGCTGACTTGAACCACTTGTGAAATGGTATTCGGCAGCAGTCTATCAGCAAAGCTAAGACCAGCACTTCATGGGACTTTGTAATTGAAAGCAGCA